GCTTCAGTGATTTTTCTTTATGGGGTCAAGATGTTTCCAGACATTACTTCTACCCTGGAAAAATGTTCCTCAGGGAACATGATAATCTCAAATGGCAGTGATTACAGGTCTTTCAGGATCATATTTGCGTTTTTTTACCTGGTGTATATTAACATTTTCCCTGAATATTATTCCTTAAGTAATATTAGTTTCTATGTAGTCATTCCTAAGATTGAGGCTTTGAAACAGGTCAGCCAGCTGGGGTCGCATGTGCATGTCCCAGTCCCTCTTACACTCTTCAGTTTCTGCACACTGAGTCCCACTATGTGATAGAACTGTTTTGTGTTTCCAGTCCATAGGCTGTGAGTAAAGATCACTTTCATAAGAGTGTCTTCATCCAGTTTTCATGGTAGCACATGCCATTAGCTCTGATTCATAAAGGTGAATTCTCAGCAATCTAGAGGACGTACATGGGGAAAGTACAGCGAGGTAAACCCCGAAATCAGATTAAAAATTGTTTTGAGAGATAAGACAAATTTTTTTTTGAGAGATAAGACAGATATTCACTTTACTGCTTCCAGGACACAGGAATATGCATCATGTTCAAAGCAGGTAAATGATTTTGATATTCTTAGAATTAATCTGATTTATTTGCACTGCACCATCAATTACTGCTTACGGATGTGAAAAGGAAATATCCTTAGGCTGATTACAATAGAATCAAAACAAAAATTTGCCTCTTCTGTCAGGGTTTTTGAAAATGATTTACTTAATAGAATAATTAGAATCTTAAATTATAGTAGGATTATAAGGACTGCAGTAAATTATGTAATTAACCATACATTGGTTACATTACATTGCCAAGGAATTAACCACACTTAGACATACTGACCCTATTTTATACACATAGCTCCTTTGTCATGATGATTACTCTCCTAATTTTTTAACTAAATCATGAGCATGCATTTAGCAGAACAGATCTTTCGGAAATTCAATTATTACAATTGATTACTTAACGTTTAAAAAAAAACAACCTATGCTTGAACTGTTTTTTGCAGATTTTGTTTTAGCAAAAGACCAATCTTCACTGAATGAACTTCACTGAAGTTCATTGCAGAGCTCCTTGAAAGGACCTTTTCTTTCCCTGTGGCTATGTCTTTGGGATCAATATATGATGGCTAAATTGCAAACAGATTTGCAAATGATAGATGGTAACTACATGATACAAACTAGTTTAGATCATGCTGATGCTTTGCTTTTCAATTGTTACAGATAAGCTGTGAGGGATGAACATCAGTGCCACTCTTTTTACTTTGGCTTTATATTTGAGCAAAGATTATAAACTCCTATTGCATTTCCACATTAATCTAAAGGTGTCTGATTCAGTTCTTTTTAAATTTAATACATTTGATAGAAATAATTGCCTTGCTTTTAGTAAGCTGTGTTAAATTTATCAAGTGGGCTGAAGAAAGAATGACAATCTTTTAAAGGAAATCTATTTTCTTCATTTATAAAATTTGAGCATACTTGAATATATAAAGTACTTCGATGTGTAAATGTGGGTTTGTGTGCACAATTATAATATTCATACTTGTTTTCTGATCTTCTTTTTCTACAAAATACCATTGAAAGCTATGCTCAAACTTTCAGAGGAACTGAGTACCATGGAGCCTATTGACATCTACTGGACTCATGGTGAGACTGAAATTAAAACACAAGAAGTGCATTTCTAAGTTATTCATAGTAAAGGGCAAATAACAAACAGTAGTTTAGAAAGTGGCTTGAGATTTACACTTATAGCATGTCTTGGATCAGTGAAGGTATAAAGGCCACCTTAGCCTTTTATTTGTTAATTATATTATAATTATATAATATATAAACATAATCAGAAAATATAAATATAATATATATAATAATATAAATATTATATTTCAAGGAAACACAATTCCTCAGCCTCCTTGCTACCTGGTGTATAAAGGATAATAATATTTATGATCTAGTCCTGCCCATCAGCTCTTTCTGCAAGTAGGAAAACACATAGCATATACAGCACAATTTAACCCATTAGGCTGATCTCAGCATCTTTTGATTTTTATCCTGTGTCTAGATGGATTTCAGCTAAAGCAATGTTACTGAGTTACTTCATTCAACTTCTTGGCTTAGAAACTAGCCTAAAATCAATAAACTGAGAGGAACAGCAACTTAATATGAACAGCTATGAGCATGTGTGTGCTGTTATCTTCTTCCTTTCCAATGAGCAGCTATCTGTGACCAGGAAGCCCTGAGCCCGGGGAAGAGATTCAAGGTGCACAATTCACGGCTTAGCAGTGAGTCATAAATTCCATTTTCAAACCTGACACTGCTGGAGGGTAAAAGTGAAATATTTTCAGACTGGTTGATAGATTGGTGCTATGTCTATAGAATACAAATTTTAAGATATTTGCAAGGTGGAAAGCTTGCTTCTGATCAGCTTAAAATGTTCGATGTGTCCAGATTCCACCACTCTTCCACACCTTAATCCTCATGTAGGTGAAAACTTTATATTGGTATGTGAAAATGTGTGTAGATATGCATACAGCAGTTTGCTAGGGGAACATATTTGCAAATTAATGCATAACTTAGTAGCTTATTAACATTTCTAATTAAGTAAGGTACTGAAACATCTGTTTTCTTGGCAGAAAGATGGAAACTCTATTTTGTTTTTCAAAGTGTAACTTTAATCCTGGTCTTTAACATAATTTGTATTTTAATATTCATACATTAAACTTTCTTACCAAAAAACTAGATATTTTACAATTATTTTCTATGAAATTCCTACCATTGGAAAGCTCAGCAAGGAACACAGATCAAATGAAATGAATGTATGTCTGGAAAAAAACCTTGCAAACAAAATTAATGCACTGTTCTTGCTCACTAAGTGCAGGCAGTCACATAACCAATGTGTGCCCAGTGACAACAGGTCTGCAGAGTATCTTACAGACATAAGATTAATGATTTTTGTATTAGGACAAAATACTGGAGGAATTCTGATTAACCAGTCTAAAAGTACACTGCCATATGCTGGGCCAAGATAAAGCTGAGGAACAGATATAGGATGTACCTTTGCATTGTGGCTTTCTCGTAAGTCTGAGATAAATCTTCACCTGATTGAATCGAAAAGAACACACACTTGTCTGTCACATCAGTATGACAAATATCTATATCAGTAATGGAACAAAATTATAATCTCTTTAAACTGCAAGATCTTCAAAGCGAAAGTTACAAACTTGGGGCTAGGTCCCTGCAAATGTTGATTATTCCTTAAAATTAGCAAAATCGGCAGTTTCACATGCAGGAATTGTGGTTACCCAGTGTCTGTCAAAGAGCCCTTAAATGAATCTTTGTCCTGGAACCTAGAAGTGTGGTTCCTCTCTCCCTCCATCTGAGGTGTTTTTGGAGAGGTGGTCACAGCTTCCCTGCCTTTGGTCCTTGGAGAATGGTGAAGGGGCTTCTGCTAGAAAGGGAACAGCTAACATAAGCTCAGATTTTCTGCACTGGAAATGTCTTCTACGTAGTGTTAACAGGAGCTGGAACTATAAGATAGTTATGACGCAGTATGGAAACTGTTCTTGCCACAATGTATGTCAATTTATTATTATTACTGCCCTTACACACACCTGAATAAAAGAAGAAGCTCTTTTTATCTGTAGAATAGCAAATAGCTTTTCCTCTGACATTTTGTATTTAGCTTAATTACGGGTATTGCAAGCATCCTTCCATATATCCGTTGCATTCAACCTGCAAAGGCACCGGCACTGTGTTGGTTATTTTTCTCTTTCATCCTCCCCTAGCTGTCCTTCCCCATTTTATCCTCAGAGACTAATAGGAACTGATTCTACAGTAATTTTCTGCTGCACAGTAATTTCCAGCATTTCTTCAAGCATTTGATGGGACTGGAAAAGATTTCATTGAGAGTCTTCTGCCCTGCCACCATCAGCAATACTGAGGATAAAGGAAAAGAAGTACACCATGGCCCAGATTCAACGCAACAGCTGTAGGCTTAACTTTTATTTAGGTGCCTAATTTATTTCAGGAAAAAGACTTCAAGCTTAAATGCTTTTTTGAGATGTAGTGTTCAGGCGTTGAGAATTCAGCCATTTCGGTATCACCACCAGAGACTCTAAATATTGAATGCATATTCTCTCAGTCCTCTGTGTGTACATGCATTTCAATCTGTTCTTCGTATTAACAATAGATTAGCAAATTGAGTCTCTTGTTTTCTGTGCAATGATCTGTGCACCTCCTATTCCGCAGCCAATGTTTTTTCTGCTGGCCCACAATTTTATACTGATTCAAATGGTCTTATAAGTAGGAAGAAAGAAAGAAAGAAGGAAGGAAGGAAAGGAAGGAAAGGAGGAAAATGAATTTGATTCTTTTCATATCTGTGAATCAAAATCTCCAGCTGTGGCAAACTAACGCAAAGTACATTAGTGCCAGCGTCAGCAGCTGTGGAACTGCCAGCTTCCAAGGACTCATTTAGATTTCGTTGAACACATGCTGCACAGAGCTTAGTGCGCTAGCCCTTGTTCATAACGAGGTTGATAAAAATACAGCCAGTCATTGCTAATATAATGTATTTATTGATCTTATTTCTGCCAGCTTTACTTTTTAATTTTTCTTCATTAGAAAAATTCATTAAGATTGCTGAACCAAGGAAACTAACTGCAGGGAAAAGTTCAGATACAGTACATGAAGAAAAAGTGACATTCTTTTGGTTAAGATAATGACTGATGGAAATGTTCATCAAATGAATCTGTGAAATTCTGACAAAAAATTAGGAAAAGAACCTAGCTATGACCTATTTTGGATTGTGATGGTGTGACTAACTGGTAGATATTGAGTCTTGTCTGTCTAACCTGCGCCAAATTGCAATTCCCTACTCCAGCAAGTTTTCATTATATTTCAGCATACGGCTATTTCAAACTTTGGGACTGTGGAAAGTGGTCATATCCATGAAAAAATAAGCCTTTTTTTCTTTTTCTTTTTTTTTTTTTCGTGAAATGTGTCAAGTATGTTAGTCTGGGTCTCCAAGGTGGCTTAAGACAGCCTCTGTGTTGCTGTCATATATAAGATGTATCTTTCTCTTAAAAGAACCCATTCCATTTTTCTGCTGGGTGATATTTGTTTCCACACTGTGATGAGCAAAAGGCAAATCTAAATTCTAATAAACAAGACTTGGAATTTCTCTACTCTCCATACTTATATTTTTGTGTACTTTTTCCAGGTTGAACTAAGTTTTTAAATGACTAGTACCAATATTACAGGTAAAGTTTCACTAGAGCTTTCTACAATGTCTTAAATGGCCTTCCTTTAATAAAAATACCTCCCCTCACACACTCTAGGATGTTATTGGTCTTTGTCATGGCTGTATCACCTTAGCAAATCAAGAGTGAAGGATTTCTTTTTGGTAATTTTTAAACAACAGTTGAATATACCGCAAATTACTCACAAGTAGCTCTCTCAGAGCTATGTAGTCCACCTAATTCTCCTTGTTTATACAGTTTAATCTACTCTGGTTTATATATATATTTTTCTTATTTAACATATCCTTTCTAGCTCATGTTATCTTTACAACACTGATATTAAGACCTCATAACCTCTTGCCCACACAGACTGACTCAAGGAGAAAATACAGAAATGAGACAGCTGCTGAGGTATACAAGCTACGCTCTCACTTTCTCTCCTTGCATTCAATACCACTGTCAAATTTTCAGTGCACTGATATAGGTGAAAAATGAAGGCTCTATCATCTCTTCTTTCACAAATCCCAGGCAAGGAAAACATGGCTGGCTACAGGCAAATGAATCTGGTTATCCTTTTTTTTCTCCCCAAAAGACTGTGGAAAATAAAGTAAGGGATATTAAATTTATCTTTTAAAAGGTCCTGTCTTATCTTGGTTTTAGAATTGATTTAGAAAACCTGCCAGTAACAGAAAACAGCAAAGGCCAAGAGGGCAAAAAGACAAGCAATTCTATAGAGATCAGCTGCTATACTTCTGTGACTTTAGAAGCAGGTATCTTAAGTCTTCAATACTTTTGACTAGTTGGAAGAATAGTATAATGCATTTTTCTGAAGAGAACACATGAAAACCATCAATGTTCAGAGAGAAAAGCCAGGAAGAGGGAAGGATATCATATTGATAAAACATACTCTACAGGAGTTTTGGTTTCCTGATATTAGAAAAGCTGGAAAACAGCTTCTAAGACAAAGAGGTGGGGGAGATACAGGTTTTAGCAATATTCTAATATAAAGTGCACAAAATTGATTCTTTTTTTTTTATTTTTTTCCCTGTATATACACTTTTTTTTTCTTTTACATGCTCTCTTTTGCTATACATAAACCTTTAGAAACACTGGAAAGAAAAGGCCAAATAATCACAGGCTGATCATGAGAAATGGGTGATGTGTGCCAGTGAAGTTCCACAATACATCAGCATGTCTTCCAAGAGAAAGGGGAAGCTGGATATTGACAGACAACCTGGCAGTTATCAGCACTTTTTGCTCTACTATAGTGTACCTCACTGCATCCCTCTCCCAGCTTGTTCCAGCCTGCTGTAACCCTTTGACATCAGCACTACCCACCTGGGATTTCCATGGTTTGCATGTAAATGAGTGTTATGGGGTAAGGGATAGATTATTGGAGAGGAGCAACTATGTGGGTATTTTGTTTGCATGGGATCTAGTGTAGGAAGGCTGGATGTATGTGCAGTTATTTGTACCATGACAGAAAGCACTTAGGAAACGCAAATAACTCTTGCCACCTCATTCAAGATTAAGTAACTCTGAATGGAACAAAAGGCAGGATGACCAGAAGGATCTCCAAGATGACCAAGAGAAGCCAGTCATGAGTCTAACAAACATGGGGGATATCTGTAACAATGCAGGGAGAAAAATAACTTAAACGGAAAGGTAATCTTGACATAGGAAAGTATAGGTATAAACTAGTCACAAATGAAAGTGAGGAAAATAGAGAAGGGAGCCTAATCATCAGAACTGAAAGTCTTCCAGAATCTTCCTGAAGGTGGAAGTAGAGGAAGACTGTCTCGTTCAATTGTATATAGCAGGGACTGAGTGATAAGACTGCACCACCCAATCAATTGTTATTGATAGAGTTGGGTGTAGTAGGTGGATTTGTATCCCTTCTGAACTTGAAGGTGTGTATCAGCACTCTAACAATATACAGCAAGCTCAGTTGCTGTGTACAGAGCTTTTTGGTAATACTCTTTTAATGCACAGGTGGCTGATTCAGACCAAATTAAATCCTGACTGTACTGAAGGCAACAAGAGTTTCTTTTGCATTCAATTTTATCTCAGAATCTTTTCCTTTTATTTCAGCAAGCTCAACACCAATGAATAAAGAGTTTATATGTGTGGTCTCTGCATAGCATCTCCTGGCCTCTGAAACTACAGCTTCCCAGCCACGTTACCTGAATCAGCCCTCAAACTGGTCTACAAGAACAAGGCTAGTCTGGAACCAGTCCATGTTTAAGGTGCTGGAAACAACTTCTTATATCTTTAGGGTACTATTATGTGGTAGGTGGAAATATAAAGTTGACATTGAGCAACAAGGAGTCTGTAGGGCTCATATTTCTCTGATGCTTTCCCTTCACCTTTGTTTGTCAGTTCCAGTCTCCTCCTGGATTCCAGTCCAAGGTGTGTTTATAGTCAGCATGAGTAGCTAGGGTTTGAAAGATTAGAGTCCCAGGCCATTTGTTCCATATTTGATGTCAGAGCTGGGTGTGTTTTCTCCAGCACTCCAGAAGAAATCTGGAGCAAAGACCTCATTCCACAGAGATTTCCACTTTGCAGAGTTCTCAGGGATTTCACTTTAAACAAACAAGTTGTTTTGCTGTATCTGAAGGATTTGCACAGAGCTTAAAATCCATGCACAGATGAATGGCATTTGTGATTAAAAGGCAACATTCAAAATGAAGTGGAAATAGATCCACCCACACTAGGAAAAAGAGTATTATAAACCTTTGAGGGCTGATCATAAAATCACTAAACAGCAAACACACCATAAAAAAATCCAAATTCAAAAACATGGAAAAATTAAATGGAATACAATTTGTCCTTATTACAGAGAGTAACAAGCAGATGTGGCAGAAAGGGAACCACACACCTTGAACTGAACCTTCATATTCCCTGTTGCAGGTGAGATGATCCCTTCTGGCTCTAGCAGGAAATAAACCGATCTCTCCGCATCACATTCCCATGGAGGTGACGAAGTGAAGAACAAGTACTAAAATATCTGGGATCATCCCAGATCCTTATGAACGTCCAGGCCACTTTAAATCTGGCCCTGCTTCAAGAAGCATATAAAGCTTTTCCATATACTTGTTCTTATCTACAGGAGGTTAATCCTTTGAAAGGGAGAACAGTTTCTGAACAGTCATCACTGTTTCCGTAGTAGTAACAAGGTGTTCACAAAGGACAGCCCACATGGCTGCATTTCAAAGAAATTACTGATGCTTCTGTCATCAAGGGGCTTCCTGGTCCAGTGCATGTGCCATCCACTCCATGTACTAGCTGCAGACAGAGCTTGCCTACAGCTAGAATTCAGCCTGGTGTCTGCCAGCTGGACCATGCTGTCCTATATCACTTACCAAGGGACATTAGAGAGGTCTTGCCTACAACACCTAGTACATTCCAAGAATCATCAGGACTGGGACACTGGCTTGTATGCCAGAATAATATGTGGCTCTGAAAACACATGTACAACAGAATCTCCTTCCTAGCACTCTCCTACTGTACCACAGGGGATGTCTGTCCATATCGCTGCTCCTATCTATGTAGCAGAGAACAGAAAAGAGTTCCTAGGAGGAATGAATTTCTGTCCTTATCTGCATTGAGTTCAAATAAGTGCGTAGTTTCTGATCATGACCAGGAAGCAGGTAGAGAAATTAATAACTTCAGAGATGCTACTCATGATGCAGAGAATATTAAAGAGCAAGCAGTGAAGACTGGATGAAAGCTACTGGCTGAGCTTTTTTCTGAGGCAGAAGGTAAATTACAGAAGATAGAATTGGTGACTGAGGCAAAACATGCATTTTATTGATTGCAAAATTACCACTGTTGTCACAGTCTCTGGTTTTCCCTTCTGACATTCATAACAACAGACAATCTAGATTAACCCGTTAGAAACAACTCTACAACATTAAAAGAAAATGGGAAATTAGGAATTCAGCAAAAGTCCATGTTTAAAATAATATGTAAACCCCAATGACTGCTTTTAACAGAAGTTACCTTCCTGTTAGTGGAAAAGAACCCTTTGGAAGATGCACTGGAAGAGCAGCAAGAGAATGAGGAGTGGACAAGGCCAGGGAAGCTAAGGTGTCAGTGGTCTTCAAGAGACAAGAAGGTGTGGGAAGATGACCAGTTGTGAGGCTTGGCTAAGAGGAAAGCGGTGTAGCATGGGTGAAGTCAGTTTCAGCAGAAGGGAATGCAGTCAGAGAGGTTGTGGGCTCTGGAGCAAGGAAACATCACAGCTAGGGAGGCAGCAAGTGGAAATAAGCAGTAGAGGTGCCTGCAGAGAAGAGGTGATCTAGGCCTTTTAAAGGGAAGAAGCTGTGCTGTGCTAGATATAGAGTGATGACTGCTAAATAAAAGAAGGGGGGTGGGTACCAAGAGAATACTGAAAATAACAACAAAAAATCAGGAGCTAATGTGGGTGTCAGAAGGTGCATTTTTAAACCTGTGGCTGAGTTGCAGGAGAGAGCTGGAAACGACAAAGATAGATGCCATTACTAGCTGGACAGAGTAAGGTAATTCACCTGTCAGAAATTAACATGGGCTTCTACTTACTAGGTATACTTCTGATATTACCTACTCCATTGTGAAAAATATATTTTAGAGTTTCATTTTATTTGAGAATATTGTTGGTCCTATAATTTGCTTCTTTTTTCTCAAAATAGAAAGAGCTCTGATGACCCTTTTCTACTTGAGCACTGAAAAGTGGATTCAGGCTGCGTTCTTCTGTTTTTGCCATGACTAAGAATGCTTGAAATAAGACATCTATATACATCCATTTGTCAAATATTTTCATTTGCAATTTGCTCTTTTTTTACTCTAAAATTGCGCTTGCAAATGGATTACATGCTATTGTCAGATGGCTCTTACCACAGTCATTTTAATGTGTTTTTAATAGTTTGTCAAGTATTGATTATTATGCTGGAAATAAGTCATAACCATGTTCTTTGATACTGTCTGCTTAGGTTTTGCCTATGTTGATTGTGGCCTGTTCAGTCAGACAGAAAATACAGCTCAGGGAACCTGACTTGAAACACATATCACAACCCCTTAGCAGCTGGAAAGAAAAATGCTGCAGTTAATTTATTATGCTGCCAAATTCCCATTAACAAAATAGCCTCTGTGAATTAAAAGAAAAAAAAGCCTGGTTCAGTGAACAGAGCATCTGATCTTTGCAAGCAGTCATGACAGTCTTGTTAACGACTATAGATTTCTCTCTCAGTAGGAAAATCATCAAACAGAAAGGGAAAGGGCAAGTTTCATTGAGGTCTGTTCCTTAGAGGTCACTCATAATCACAGAATATAAACCTTTCAAAGCTCTCTTCCTTTCTCCACTATATATCCAAGCTGGTTAGTTACCACATATGCTGCCATATAGGCTGGATATCTGTTTAAAAGGAATGGTCTTTTAAAACAAGATCCCTAGAGGAAAAGCTGAAAGTATTCTAGTCTTTTGATCTTGGAATACTTCCTCAGTCTGACTGGGGAAGACACCATCTTCTGATGTGGTTACAGAATGCTTGAAGCAGAATTTCTATCAAGGCTGGTAGAAAATAGTATGAATCATACCAGACACTATTTACAGAACTTGGGAGCATAGCACACATGTATTGCACTTTCTTACACTTTTGTTCTCATAGAAATGTTTGTTGGAAGGGACTTCTGAAGGTTATGAAGTCCAATCTCCTACCTGAAGCAGGACTAGTCCCGGTATAAATGAAGTCAGGTGTGACTTCTAATCATGTCTGAAAACCTCTATGGAGAGATGTGTACAAGCCACACTGGCAGCCTGTTCCCATGCTGCAATAAGATTTTCCAGACATCCAATCTATACTTCTCAAAGTGCAACTCATGGGCACTGCTGATTGTCTGGCATTTGCCAATACCAGGATCCATTTCTTGGGGAGTTTGGATCCCTTATCTTTGTAATGCTCTCCCAGGCAACTAGGGATACCACTCCACCTCCTCTTCCACAGTTTTCTCCATGTCTCCAAATGAAAAGAGCCCAGCCTCCTCAACCCCTGCTCTCTGGTCAGGTGCTCTAGGGCTCCTCACAGCACGCTGCTGGACACTTTCCAATGTCTCAACAAGATTTTTGGGCCCACTACTGAACACAGACTCTAAAAGTTTTCTCCAAGACCGGAGCACCCTGGACAGTTCTGGACTTTTTAAAAGATGGGCATAAAAATAACCTCTTCTCTATTGCAAATCATTGTGAAAACACCCCAACAGCTACACAGTAGTATATCTTTATAAACACATGAATCTGATTATATTATTTAGATCAGAGATGCTCTGCACTGTTTCACAGCCATTTAGGAAATGAACATTTTTTTTCTCCCCCCCTTAGACACCAGAGACTTAAGCATTTGACAGGAGACAGAAATATTATCAAATCTCAAGTATTATCAAATATGTGCGAGAGAGTTGGTAGGGTAGCTGCCTGCATTTCTTTTCAAGACCTCGCTTGATCTTATCTCAGGTATTACTTTGTCTATTAGGGATGTCAAATATCACATCATTTGTGATGAAAATTTCACTATTTTAGGAAGTTTCTTTTGCTTTGTTCTGGTAAAGACCACAGACATCACCTATTCCTGACTAAGCTAATGAAAATAGTTTCATTGCTTTTACATAAAGTTAGAGAGAGCTTACAAACATGTTCCCTGCATGCTGCAAGGTTCAGCCTCAGATCTTTGTTCTGAGGAGGTCATGTGTGTCATAGTGTTGAGTTTTCTGGATGACAGCATAGGCAGGATGCAGGGCAGGAAGAAGGTTATGGAAAAATAAATTACAGTGAAAGAAGAAAAAATTACATGTTCTCACTGAACACCAGAAAAAAGTATTTCCTTGAGAAAGAGTAAGTGAAGGAAGATAATCTAATTTATGGAGAGCAGGACAATACAGTGTCCCCATGAGGATTTTTACAGAACCAGTAGCATTCTTTGCAGCTTAGAAAGAAGGAGGAATAAAGCTATTCCCCCCCCTGCCCGCCTCAGTCCTTGCTGGTGTCTCTTCAGTGCTGCACAGTTTGCAGTGAGCAGATCAACCAAACCTTGCAAATTAAAAATTCATGGTAAAATATGTTTCATGACCTAACACTGAAGGAAGAGGACATTACTGGTGAAATGCTTGAACTGGGCACTGTACAACATAAGGTGTTCTTCTTTCACACTTCAGAACATAGCAGAGGTTCTGATACATCAATGTTTTAAAAAGGTTAAAAAACCCAAGAACCTCAATTCCTCCCTTCTACCACCCAGTATATTGCAGATTCAAGTCTTGTCACAAAGCATACATAATATATTCATATATACAAAGACAAGCCACGAAAGATGGTAATACAGATAATAAATCCTGTGGTGGCTTGTATGCTTGGATAACTCTTACAAATTCAGTGCTATAGACTGGCAGGGAAGGGAGCCCAGGGGAGTAAGCTATAAGATGATAGGGAGAAGAGTTTTCCAGGTAAATAAACTTCTGTTTGTACTAGCTCTACCTATACAGTCACTGTTGCTGGATCACCACCCTGTTGTTTCCACTGTGTACTTAGCTGTGTAGAAACACAGCACACATTTTGCCAAGGAACACAATGACTTGCATTTCTGATTGAATTTTCTGGAGAAGCACCTATGAAGATAGAGGTTGCAATTTTCATAAACCATCACAAATATCTCAGTACTCCAGATGTCTTCATGCGTAATCTATTTAGTAAACTACTCTATATGTTAAAATTGAAGGCACTGATCTAGCCTGAGAACTGATAGTGCATTAATGCTAACTAACACAGAAGAATTACATTATAATTTCTTTTAGATCTTTCCCACCCCTAAATTTGCATGTTCTTTCTTCTGTTCCATGCGCTGAGTCATAGAGATTACAATAACTTTTTGCTAATCTTTTCAGAAAACAATCTTCAGTAGCTACAGCAAAATACATGAAAGAAACAAAGGTTTAAATGTGCAACTGAAAAGAAAGCATTCTGAAGTGAAGATACTTTTGGATATTAAAAATATGATTTGAAGTAAACATTTCTCAGAATGTATCACTATCCAAGGTTAGAAAGGTATATGGTGTGCTTACGGTGTGCTTAAGTGTTTTGTCTTTTATCTCCCATACTTATTCCTACTAAGGTCTTTGGTCAAGAGTGACAATAAATATCTGGTGATGCATTTATCTGTTCCACAGGTGAAATTCTGAGTCTTTTAAAAATTAAGCTAAAGATATGTTAGGTTTCAGGGATTGTATCTGCGCTGTAGGGTGTAACCTACTCTGTGCAATACTTTCCACAATACTCACCCTGGTATGTGCTAAGGACCCATGGCTCTCACTCTGAGGGAGCCTAGATGTGTAACCTTGGCTTGGATTTCTAAGGAAATTGTTAAGACATGAGGAAACTGTATGACTCTCTGCAGAGCCATAAGAAAAGTAAAATGTCAAAGAGCTAAGTTTGGTAAGAAAAAGATTATGAGTAGGTCAAGAATAAGAGTAGAAATACTAGAATGTGGAGGTACGGAATGCTGAAGGAGAGAACGCAGAGGTAGTGGAAGATGGCAACCCAGCAGCATCAAGGATTTTTTTCTGGGGCAAGTGGAGCATGACCATGCTCCTGACTGATACCTGCCTGATCAGCAGAAGCCCCTGGGAGTCCTATTGGAAGAAGTGAGCATACTAATGCTTAGCTAGTTGCTCATTAAAACTCAGCTGTCTTCACATTTGGTAATAATTCCTGTTTGCATTAAAGTTGTATATGTTCTACCTCCAGAATCCTTTTGTGTGAGATAAAGTTGTTTGAATAAAATGACTCAAGGAAGGAGGTCTGTAAGGACATGAAAATTCTCAGTATTCACTATGGTCCTGCTTCTTAGCTGTCCTGTTCATCCTGTCTGAAAATGGAGCAAGGGAATCATTATTCAGCTGAAACAAGTACCTGAACCCAGAAATGGCAACCTATTCCTTCAGGTTAGACATAGCCTATGGCAAAAAATAGCAGTGTCATGTATCAACAGCCCCTCCATCCTGAGAGATTTCCTACAATTGCTTTCTGGTGAAACTGTTTCACCCTTATGAATTGCAGGTAACTACTCATCTGCTGTGATTAGAACGGTTATGATCTCAGCCACAGTAAAGTTATGAGGTACTTAACTTGGATAGGAAGTCTGATAATAATCTCTATTTTAATATTATCATCTGTAATTATAATGTATTCTTTCAATATTGCATCTTGACAGGCGAATTCCTCTCCTGGTGCTTTCTCTGCCATTAACTGTGAGCGAACTGTTAAAACTTTTGGAATGTATTCCATTAGTGCACATTCATTATTCAACAGATAAGATTCATTGCCTACTCTTCAAATAGCAATGAGACAAAATAACTGCTAAACTGAATTAGAAAAGCTTAAAGTTTTAAAGTTCAGGTCCTAACTGGCTTTTAGAAAGCCCAAGAAGCTGGCCTTGCCCACTCATTTTTGAAAGTAAATGAAACATAAGCAACTTGAACATAAACCATGCTAGAGGGAAAAGATTAAATGGAAAGAGACTCAAGCCTTCTCATGGTGTCACTAAAAGTCCTTTCAAAAACAGAGTGAGGAAAGATATGGAATCAAATTACGGTATATCTGATAATTGTTTAAACACATACAGAAAAACATTTAGTCTCTCTAGCATACTTGCTTGAATTTCTGGCCATGAAATAGGTTACAACAGACTCAATATTCTAGGGACAGACAGGGGTCTAGCAGAGCACTTGTGCAAAACACGCACAATAAACTTTGAGAAATTAGCCTTTAGTGACAGAAGACAACCTGTAAGCAGTCTTTACCACCATTCCTACTCCACTTCTTCATAAATTGCCCTTTGGGAGCCCTACTAACTTAGATTTTTTTAAACCCTTGAGAAATACAAAATGTTAAATACTGGCACATATCAAAACCTGATGACAGTTAAACATATTTCTCAAAGAAATTACATGAAATAATGAACTATTTTTAAAATGTTTGAATTACGTATGTGGTGACCAGTATTACCTAAGACTTTTACCATTAATTTTTCTTATTGTGCCTCGTTTGTGTTTCAAATTTCATAGATGACTGTCATGAAGAATGCAGTGCTTTAAATGGTCCTGTTTCCAAAGTTGTCTGTAGGAACAATTTTATGTTCTATAACTATGTACAGTTGGTCTTTTTATATGGTATCTGGACATCCCTGCAACTTAATTCTTCTATTGCTTAGGCTGGAAGTTGTCAGCTGTTCTGTAAAACACAGTTAGTTTCTGTTCTCAGTAATGACAGATGCAGTCCTTTTGGTACTTGGAAAATCAAGCTGTGACCTGTAGAGGTTATAAAATTATCTCCATCTCTGATAGAGCTGTGATGGTTTTGAAGCTACTCACTCACTTTAGTAACTCCCTTATTTCAGTATCATTACTGTCTAGTGGTTTTACAGAAATCACGGAAGGTACTGACTTGTGACCTGTAAGGCTGTAGCTAATGCCATTAGCGCTATAGATAAAATGATTCAGAGCTACAACCTGTTCTGGTAGCAGCTGTTTCAGTAAAAGAGATGTGAAAACTCCAGCAATCCTCATGCTTCATTTCAAATTGCAGTGTGAGTTGCAAGACAAAAATGAAATAATGAAATTGCTGTAGAGGAAGATTTACTCTGGCTTGAATTTTGATAAACAGCTCAAAAAAGTAATATAAAAAAAGCTGACTCTCTACCAACCTGAAACACTTAATGAATTCACAGATTCAGGATATGGAAAATCTCTGTAGTACTGTTTGGAAAAATTGAGAATCCTGGAAAGAGTTAAGACCCCTAGATAAGTTTTTCTTATTTACAGAGTCATTATGCTTTATTATGGCAGCTTAATGGATTTATCATGATCAAACAGATATTACCTAGCAATTTCTCTTTAAAAACCTCTTAATACCAGTGCTTTTTACACTTGTCATGGAGTGCCCCTATACTCTTGAAAAACAGTTACTGAAGCTCCATCTTATACAGGCAACTTTAAGGTCTGGTAACTGGTGGAGAGTCAACTCATAAGTAGAATCCTAGAATAGTTTAGGTTGGAAAAGACGTTTAAGATCATGGAGTCCAGCAGTTAACCTAGCACTGCCAAGGCCACCACTAAACTGTATCCCAAAGTGTCGCATCTACACATCTTTTACATACCTCCAGGGATGGTGACTCCACCACTTTACCGGGCTGCATGTTTCAGTGCTTGACAACACTTTTGGTGAAGAAATGTTTCCTAATATCCATTCTGAACCTTCCCTGGCACAACTTGAGGCCATTTCATCTTGTCCTGTCACTTGTTACTTGGGAGAAGAGGCCAACCCCCACCTTGCTGCAAGCTCCTTTTGGGTAGTTGTAGAGAGCAATAAGATCCCCCCTCAGATTCCTTTTCTCCAGCTAAACAACCCCAGTTCCCTCAGATGCTCCTCATAAGACTTGTGCTTTAAACCCTTCACCAGTTTCATTGCGCTTCTCTGAACGCACACCAGCACCTCAATGTCTTTCTTGTAGTGTGGGGCCCAGAACTGAGCACAGTATTCGAGGTGTGGATTCACCAGTGCTGAACACAGGACAAATACTTCCCTAGTCCTGCCACCCATGCTATTGCTGATACAAGCCAGGGTGATCTTGGCCTTCTTGGTCACCTGGGCATACTGCTGGCTCATATTCAGCTGGCTGTCAAACACCATCCGTGTAAATAAAGGAATAAAAATAAAAGAAAAACCAATATATTTCCACACATCATCACTGTCAAAACCCTGTCATATCCAATAGATCAGATAACAGATAATATTCCAGCTTGGTAATGAGTAAATCATAGCGTGATATACTGCCTACTGAAGTAATGTGAGAGACTTTACTGACTTTCACAGCCTCTAGGTCAGTATCTTTTTTAACAGCTCAATAGCTATCTAAGTAGTATAATGATAAATATACTTGAATCATAACTAGAAAATATTACCAAAAGAGATTGCAAGGTTAAGTTAGATAGATTGAGCCCTCTCTTATTTGAAAACTGCCCAATTTTTGAATTAACATTCATTTTACCAAATTGAAGTTCCTTTTGAATGGGTAATATTTGGATATAAAGCCAGGGAAAATTATGTAGCTATTGCTTTTTCTTACCTGGATACCTACCTGAAAATTATTGCTGCAGGTTTATACAACTGGGACAGAAAAGAACCCAAACAAATAAGGCATAAAATTAATGATTAATACAGTCAAAGAAACACCAACAAGCAAAGAAATACTAAACAGATGGTTATTCTTTTCTACTGAATAGCTGCTAAAGATACTGTCCAGGGAAAGTCACTCAAAAGAATTAACCAAACATGTTGTTTTTCATAACTATGCAATTTACTTTTTAAACTTTTTGTTAAGTGAGTTCCACCAACAACATTTTAGTTGGATAAATAACTAGTTGTATAACTTCTACATTAAGATCATTAAAACACTTCTATTAGCACAGCCTAACCTTGCAGTCTTCTTCCCAAAATACCCGTCATGAGACAGGTTAGTTTTACCCTACTGATGATGTGTTGTTGCAATAGTAATCCTGCTCAGTATGAGAGGAACCACAGGTTCAGACCCCTGGTGCGTGCGTGTGGCTGAGGAGCCACTGATGCGAGGCTACCATCTGTGGGCTTATGACTGAACGCCTCTAAGTATCCCGCCTAAACACTGCTTGTGCTACTGCATCATCGGTCGCTTGTGATTGACCCTGGAGATGACAGTCTTGTTCAGAATGCATGGGTGAAGGTCTTCCTGAATCTTCGTTAGTGAAGACAGGCCTTCCTCATAGGAGAAGGAAAACTCCTATCTTCAAACCCGGGCTGATAGATCTCATCTAGCCTTGTATGGTCTTCCATCAGAGAGAAGGGCACTCTTACAAAACCTACGACCTGAGGACTTTGCTGTCACCGTCCTAGCTAGCTAGGCCGTGTCAGCTAAACCTCAGGTGTAAAGGGTGGGGCCAGTTCTGCACAAGCTGTGCCTCACCTAAAAAAATCCACTGCGCAGGCTGGAAGGGCTTACTCTCACTTGTCTGTATGGACAGGCGAGGGTCGAAACGGTAGGTGACAAGGTGCATGGGAAGCTGCTGATCCAACCTTGCATGCGGGTAGACCAGCGCATGGGTGGCTCGAAATCACTCAGGAGATGACAGTCCTGGTCGGACACTTCCTGATTGCCTCA